TGACAGCTGTGATTAATCTGAGAATTTCATAATGAATATGTAAAACCACTGTGATATCCATTGGCTTCACAGTGTGTCAAGATGAATATTTATCATTTCCAATCAGAATCTACATTACGTTTCCTAGTATGCAGTGTTTCATACTGGGTTGCATAGCAACGTAGGAAAGTAAAAGTATGTTAACAATAGAATTTGATTATAAGTAAATAATTGTAAAATATCTGCAACTTACCGACAGAAACACAACTACCATCAAAGATGAAAAAGTCATCAATTCCAATAAATCCTTCATTGCCACTACTTCGCACAACTTCAAATACAATTTTAAAATCCTCAGTAGCCACAATAGAAACCTGTTCTTCATACCATCCATACTCTAATTCAACACTTTTAGTCCATAGTGCAGTACCAAGCGTACTACCTATCTTGGCATAGACGTTCAGCACACCTAAATTCTGGTCTCCATTTTTCATGTGATGAAATTGCAGACATTTTGTTGTTGGTGCATAGAATGTAGGTGTAATGAATCGAGCTTTTTTATATTTATTTTGTTCCGTTGCTGACACTATGAGAAAATGACCTATGAAAAATAGTAAACTAATAGTTAACGTGCATGCATGCAGTTAGAGCTCTTAAAAAAACATACTTGTACTTGTATATATTATGAGGTATGTATGAAAAAAGTGGGGATGTTAAAGCAATCCATTATTGTACACAGACACGTGACGCAATGGGCCAATGGCTGCCAAGTTCTCGTTGAGGGCGAGAGAGCCACTACACTTGCGTTTGTCAAATGAACAGTGTTATATTCTCTTCCTCTTCGCATCCATGGTTACATAGATATACAGATACGGAGAATTTACTAATATGTCTTACCTGATGGCGTCCCAAGAGTATGATCAGGTACAGAACCTATTGTACCACCTGCCAGTGTGAAATCTAAAGTATCACTCTGGTCTTGTGTTCCACCACACATGTCAGTACCATCTTCAAAGTCACAATAATCTGAAAAACGTAATGAGATCAGTATAAGCAGTCGCATGTATATAATATATAAGGCAAAGCATACTGGTTTGAATGTTAAATCGCTGGTGTATATGCAAATTAAATACATTTTTTCAATGGATAAAATACAAGCTGTGAAATGCACTTCACAAGAGATCCAGTATCTAGTTGTGTATACCTTGTAGACATTTGCCGTCTTCAAGCGTGACGTCATCCAATGCTATATCTCCCTGTATAATGCCATGAACTCCTTCAAAAATCACATTATATGTACCGCTAGTAGACACAGACAGAGTAATCTGAGCTTTCTTCCATTTGTTGCCTTGCGTACCACGTCTTGTCCACAGTCATATCACCCAAAGCACTCACGTACACATTCAGTCTCTCTATGTGGCCACCATGCATGTGGTACCTTTAAAAACACAGTATTGTTTTAATTTTAATTTCAGTAAACCAAACAAGTGATTAGTCAACGATTATCAACAAAACTTAGTACCAGATAGATAATATAATGTGTATCATCAACATTAATTGGATTTTAAACACTTAAATAATAAAAAAATAAATAATTGTCTATACCAGTTGTATTATTTGCATATATTCGTTAACAAACACTGAACCAACCATAAAAATCACCCCAAACTAAGCTTTACTGCATTTCATTTGAAACATTATGATGTAAACATCACCATAGTTACAGACCCTTGCTTAACATCATAATTATAAATTAATTAAACTACGTATAGTGTGTACGTACCAAAATGTTAAACACTTAGGCTGATTAGCGTCGAAATCTACATCAGGACTGATGAACCTGGCTAGATCACCTCTTTCGCCGGCCAAAGTATTGTCAATGTAAACAAACCAACCATTTGCTGAAGAAAAAAAAGGGGGGTTAGATTGTTACTGTGTCTGTCTGTATGTGTAGAGCGGGTTTTAGAACTTGTCAACCTCTAGTGTTGTAATTGTATGACTTAA